TTCCTTCGTCGCTACCTCGTCGTCCTTTCCCACATACTCGCTGCTTTCTACGATGTCTGCTCGCTCTGCCACCCCTGCCTCGACTTCTTCGCTCGTCAACCGCCGCCTCGCCTCGCTGCTTGTGGTCCTCGAGGCTCCGCCGACCGCCGACGCCGCGCTCGACTTGGTCGAAGAGTGGGCGCAGGATTTGTCGCCGCTCGTCGTAAGTCGCTCGTAGATCTTCATAACCCAACTAACCCTTTGTTTTCGAACAGCTCGCCTATCGCAAGGCCTTGGGCGCCATCCGCGACGAGGAGACGGAGCTGCGCGTCGCCGCCGCCGTCAAACAACTCGCCGAGCGGGCGCCAGAGTCGTGGGTCGAGTGGGCGCGCGGAGACTGGCCCGAGCTTGCGACCGCCATCGACGCCGAGGTCGAACGACGCGTCGAAGAGCAGAAGCGCCTCGCCGAAGAGGAAGCACGCCGCGTCGAAGAGGCTGCGAAGCGTGCGAAGGCCGCCGAGGACCGTCGTCTCGAAGACGAACGGCGTCGAAAGGACGAAGAGGAACGGCGCCTCGAAGACGAACGTCGCGCGCAAGAGGCCGCTGATGAGGAGATGGCGAGGATCGCGGCCGCCGAGGGGCTGCTCGATAAGGGGAAAGGGCGCGCGATAGTCGACGAGGAGGTCGCCGAACTGTCGGACGACCCTTCGATCGTAAGTGTTTTCTTCTCTCGTCGTTCGATGACTAAACTCTCTTTCGTAGAAGACTCCTCGGACGGTCGAACGTCCGTTCGCGATGTCAGAGGTCGACATGGCCGCCGCGGCGATTGAGAAGCGTCAGGCCGGACAAAAGGTACGTTCGATGCTCCGTCGAGTCGGTTCGAAGCTAACTCTTCGATAGTGCGATCGTTGCGCCGGCTACCGCTCGGCCCCGGTCGATTGCGTGTGGACCGAGAACGCTACGACCTGCGATAGGTGCGCGCAGTTCCAACAGGGCTGCTACTTCGACAAGGTGTCTGTCCTGGGCAAGACGAAGAAGACGCGCGGCGGGGGATCAACCACCAAAAAGCGCAGTAAGTTGTTTCTGCTGGTTGCCCTAAACTTTGGCTGACGT